AATTGATTACCTGACATTCCCAAAAATTGTTCAAACACAGCCAGGAGGAAAACAGGCTTGTGTATTTTTCCATTAACATTATTCTTGTTGACTGTCAATGGCAGAAGGGAGACAGAACTGAAAAAGAACAAATAGACATGCAACGGAAGTCTAGCAGAAGGTCACAAAATGAAAAATATCAACTCCTGCCCAGAGTGTGCAGACAATGCTGCCTACAGGGAAATGAAATCTGGAGCCAAGAGCAATAAGAGAGCCCCCAGCAAAGTCAAATAAAAGATTGTTTTGAATGCTTTTATTTTATTTTATATTTTGTTATGCTTGCCTTTTGTACCAATCTCTCCTACAGCTCTTGGCAGCTCTCATCAAAAATATTTTTTTTATCCGAACAAGAAAAAAAAAGAATAGAAAAAGACATGCTGTCTTGCTGGCAAACACGGCCTTCCTGAATCCAGAGAGAGGATAATATGAGGACTGCAATATCTGCACAAGGAACATTTTCATTTGTTGTGTGTGTCTCTTCAGTGTCTGGCTGGCAGAGGATGTAGGCTCTGAGCCCTGAACCTGTGTAACATTCCTAACCCCCCAACTTCGACCCACTGCCGCCACAGTACAAAGGCAATCTCAGGACAGGCACAAGGGAGACAATGCTTTTTATAGAAATGGGAAGTCTTCATGGAGATAGGAACAGGGCCTGTTATTTTGGTTTTTCTCCATTTCTTAGTTTTCCAGCATTGCCTGGAGCAGCTGCTTGAAATGATTATTTCACATGGAAGGCCTTTACAAAATTTACTCCTTACTCATATTCAGGTTTTCCCCTCCCCTTAGCTTATCAAAGTACAGGAACTCTAAGGTCTCTTTCATACAATGCTATTATAGCACTTTGATACCACCTTATTTGCCATGAATGTACCTTACATAATCCTGGTATGTGTAGTTTGGGAGACACTAGGATTTCAAAATGCCTCACCAATCTAGATATTCTAGGATTCCATAGGTTGGACCCATGAAAGTTAAAGTGATGTTGAGTTGTTGTAATTGTGGAATATGAAGAAGGCTGACATGAAATTATAATAGCATATATGCAATGCAAGTGGTAGTGTCAGGACTTAGTCATCAAATTCCTCCCTCAATAGCCTTCTGTGGCACTGAAAGTCTGTTCTACTCCTCCATGACAGGTTTTGGGTTGCATGAGGTAGAGACGCCAGTGAATGGCTATTGTTGTTAATTATATAGGATTGTTTAGGTGTTATGATGTTATTGTTTTTTACCGTGTACTGTATTTTTGCTGTTCTGTTGTTAACCGCTGTGAGTCGCCTAAGGGCTGAGAACAGCGGTATACAAATAAAGTAAATAAATAAATAAATAAATAAATAGAGGGGCTATAAGACTGAGGGGTCTTTATTGTTGAAAGCCTTCAAGTAGGCCTTACAACTTATGGTAACTCTAAGGTGGAGTTTTCTAGTCAAATGTGGTCTAGTCAAAACTACGGTTAGGTGTAATTGGTTAAGTGAACAAACCCAAAGGGTGCTCACCAATGCTTCCTCTTCATCCTAGAAATGATGAGTGGAGTGCTGCAGGGTTCCATCATGGGCCCGGTCCTGTTCAACATATTTATTAATTACTATTAGTAAGGCTGTTAAAGGCTCCTCCCTAAACTACAAACCCCAGAATTCTGCAGGCGGCAGAAACCGGATTTGAAGTGGATTCATTCTCTAGTGTGATGAGGCCCTTCGATGAAGGGTTAGCAGGCATGATCATCAAGTTTGCAGATGACACCAAATTGAGAGGGATAGCTAATACCCCAGAAGACAGGAGAAGAATTCAAAATGATCTTAACAGATTAGAGAGATGGGCCAAAACTAACAAAATGAAGTCTAACATGGACAAATGCAAAATATTCCACTTAGGCAGAAAAAAATAAAATGCAAAGATACAGAATGGGAAATGCCTGGCTTGATAGCCAGTGTGAAAAAGATCTTGGAGTCCTCAAGGACAACAAGTTAAACATGAACCAACAATGTCATGCAGCAGCAAAAAAAAAAGCCAATGAAATTTTGGCCTGTATAAATAGGATTATAGTGTCTAGATCCAGGGAAGTCAAGCTACCCCTCTATTCTGCCTTAGTCAGAACACACCTGGGATACTGTCTAATTCTGGGCACCACAATTGAAGGGAGATATTGACAAGATGGAATGATCTGAAATGATCAAGACTCTGGAGAACAAGCCCTATGAGGAGCAGCTGAAAGAGCTGGGCATGTTTAGCCTGCAGAAGAAAAGGCTGAGGGTAGACATGACAGCCATGTATAACTATGTGAGGGAAAGTCGTAGGGAGGAGGGAGCAAGTTCATTTTCTGATGCCCTGGAGACTAGGACATGGAACAATTGCTTCAAGCTACAGGAAAGGAGATTCCACCTGAACATTAGGAAGAACTTCCTAACTGTGAAAGCTGTTCAGCAGTGGAGCTCTCTGCCCCGAAGTGTGGTGGAGGCTCCTTCTTTGAAAGCTTTTAAACAGAGGCTGGATGGCCATCTGTTGCGGGTGCTTTGAATGCAGTTTTCCTGCTTCTTGGCAGGGGGTTGGACTGGATGGTCCATGAGATATCTTCCAACTCTATGATTGTATGATTCTATGATCCTGGGGTTGAGAGTATGTGACTTGTTCAAGATGACCCCACGAGTTTCCATGGCTGAGCAGGGAATTGCTCTGGTTTCAGTCTAAGCTGAAACCACTAAAGTATGTTGGCTCTCAACCAAGAGGGCTACCTTTCCTGGATTTTTTCATGGATGACATCCTTGGGTTTATGCCCAAGTGATGGATATTCTTAGGCTGTTCTCTCAACATATAAACACAATGTCAGGCTTCCTGCAAAAATTATATATATATGAGGTAATTTGATAGGCCAGATTTTGGCACGATAGAATAGTTTTTTGACACATGCTGTCGACATGCTTGTTAGTTCAGCTGCTGCAATGGTCATTCATGTTCAAAGAAAGTCTAGAAACTTCAAAGGCTAATGTGGCTTCTGGACATTTTAGACAGGCTTGGGTAGCAATGCAATTTTTTTTATCTGCTGAGAAGCTTTATTAAAGATCAGTGTTAATCTTCACTTCCAAATCTGTGATGTCTACATATGACAATCCTCCATATTGCATCTTTGCACATCTGTGTAAGCAGTGTGAAATAATGGTACATAATACAGTGTCTGCAGAAGAAAAATCTACAATGGCAGATTTTAAGAACATATCTATAGCTGTTTTACTTCTTCCAAGGATTGCTCATAACATTATCAAGCAATCTCTATTAAAGAGTATCTGGGTTATATACTAGATAACCCTGTAAGAAAGCAGAGATGGCAGTATAGCTGGTTTTGAAATAAATGGGAAAAAAGAATGAATGAGTGCAATACATTTCACTTATAGAGATAAATAGGATTTCAAATGAGAGGGTTTTGAATGATAATCCATTTATTTCCTATTTGTATAGCTCCTGTCAGCTGGAGCTCTGATGAAATAACCTGAAGAGGTCACAGAAAACTGTGAGAAAAAGAAAAAAGTGAGAGGACAGTTAAAATGCTGAGAAAATCATGTGCCTTAGTTCCATCTATCTCAACAACCTCAAATTGTATAGATCAGAACCCTTGGAAGAGCACTAGAACATCTTTAAAATTGTTATCCTGGTATGATGGAAAATACTAGTTGTCAGTTTGACAAAGAGACACTCCCATAGAAAAGGACTATGGAATGGTGCAAATCAGTAACAAAATCAATGTAATTTGACTAATGAGTACCAAAATAAATGTAGCTCAATAACAACAAATGAAAAAACTAGAGGTGAAACTGAGTGATAGAAAGAAAGGAAATTAGTAATAGCCAACTTTCACATCTCAGGGCACCAATACCCTTGTCCCCAGGGCAGAACATCCAAAATATTAGTCCAAAGGACTATTTCTACAGTAGTAACAAAATGCTGCAGGATTTCAGTTCATGTATAGGGCAAATACTCTCTTCAGTATTTGCTTTGTATGTTTGCCTCATTGCAACAGCAGTAAAGCAGGGCTCTGTTTGCTGTAGAGCTGGTTGCCGAGCAGCAGAAAACAAAATATTGCTCTTGCCTGGGCTGTTAACAAACTGGAGCTCGCTTCATAGGAAGATGAGAAGACAAAATCTTACATTTTGAAAAAATGAAGTGTGCCATCCCTGTGAAACAATACATTATTACTACAGTGGGTGGAATAACATAGAAACATTATGTGTATTTAAAGGTGTGAGCTATAATGTACTATTGTCTAATAAGTTATATTTATTGAAAATTATTAATTAAAAGATCATGCATATACAGAACATATTTTTCCAAAATGTCTATAATATATTTTAATATTATTTCAATCCCTGATGCTCACTTGAGGCAGTCCTATTATAAAATGCCATTTTCCCCACCTGTTTTGGGGAAGTACTGTGGTGTAGTGGTGTGAGTCTGAGAGACCAGGGTTTACATCCCCGGTTAGCCATGGAAAGCCACTGGGTGACTTATCTCTCAGCATCAAAGGAAGATAATGAAAACTTCCCTCTGAATAAATCTTTTCAAAAAAATCCCATGATAGGCTAGCTTTAGGGTTGTCATAAGTTGACAATGTTTTGAAGGCACACAACAACAACATAGTAAATAACTATGTGATAATAATTTGATGCAGTTCTTCAAACCTTTCCTCCCTCTCTCCGAAACATGAACCATTTCAGTAACCATGTAGTCGCTTGAGTCAAAGTGAGGGAATTTTCATTCTCCCTCCCCATGAAGTATCCCAGAGATGAACTTTGGAGCATTTCTATCCACACATGTCAAAATGGGTCCTGCAGGTATAGCTCTCCCCACCACCACCTTCCTAAACAATGCTGCCGGCCAATCAGCTTTACAAGAACTCTATGAATTCACTTTTGTTGATAAGTTGCTAGGAAACATGTCAAGAGACAAAAGAGAGGAACGTCCATTGCCACAGCAACCCAAGATGCTAACCTACTAAATTAAGTATGGAAAGAGATACTGAGACCTAAGCTTTGCTTCTGCTAATTCCTCGGTGAGCATGGAGGGAACTTTATGGAGGGGATTAAGTCCTGAGAGTTCAAGGTAAGACCAAGTCTGGAAAAATGGAACTGCTCATAGGCTCAACAGAAACATGCTTTTCTATATTATTGAATTACAGGACCAAATGAACCCCTTTTAATGGAAATATCATGTTCATATTATGCAATTATTGTTGTCCCCACACTGTCAAATAGTCTTGTATTGAAAGCCCTTGTATTTTATAGGACTGTTAGCACTGCGTTCATGAACTTTCCTGTTTTCAGGAGCAGAAGTAGCAACAACAACAATCCATTACTGCTGTCATTGTGCCACACCAATAGGAATACTACCGAGTGCTAGTTACATTTAGTTAAACGTTTAGTATAACAGGTAGGACTGAGTTTTCCATGAGTTTCTTTATGTATTCAATTACATTTGGGTTTGTGTCAGAAACAAACCTTCATTTTTTACTGCGATGTCACCCCCCCTCCCCCAAATAGTTGTTTTTTCCAAGTGGTAGGAAAATTAGAATCAAATTGCATTAGAGTGGCATGAAGATACAAGCTTAGAAACAAAAATTTCACTATGTTCACAGTGCCTGCAATTGGCCAAATAATTAAAAGAGACACCTCTGCAAAATTGAACTTGGAAAGTGAAGATTTTGGCTGCAAATAATATATTATGCTGATTAATTGGAATGACATATTCCTGGAAAAGTCAGATAGTTTGCATGTAGACATCAAATACTAAATTTCACTTGTTGTTTGTTTCACTTTACACCAGCAAACACATTGGCAGATATATTCTGAAATATGCTTAAATTATTATTAATAACCCCATTTCACTTTGATACTGAACTACACAATTTTTGTACTCTGAAGAGAAATATGTTTGCATTTTAATCAGATGAGTTTATTTTAGGCAGCACAGATTCTCAGTTTGTATATATGTTGGTTATATTTTTTTTTAGTGATGGTTGTTAGTTTCCATCTCATTAGTCAGTGACTTAGCTTTGGGTTTCTAATATGAACGTTAAAGGAGCTGTCCACAGGGCTGAGCTACATCCCAACTACTAGCTTAGAAAGCAGATTTAAAGTCCAACAAAAACAAACAAAACAACTTAGGTTAGATTCCCTCTCTAACACACACAAATGATACAGGAACCACAATGTCAGTTATTTTTTAATGAACTCACATTGGATGAACTTATCTCATTCTACGGTTCCTTATAGTTTTCTTGAAGGATCTTAGACCACTGAGAAGATGGTATCTGAAGGACTTTAGAACAAGAAACCAGAAAGGACAAATAAACAAGCAAATCCTGTTCTTGCAGAGAAGAGAAGTACACAAATGGAGATAGTCATAGCCAAATGTGAAATCATCTAGGCTCAGTGAGAACAGCTATAGACTTGATCCAATAGATTGGATCTTTGGCATTTCCCTCTGGCTAGAACACCAGCCAAGAAATAATGTTCTTATAATAGCTGCTTCTTTCCCGTTGTGTGTGTGTATGTGTGTGTGTGTACACATACATAAGTGCTTTACAAATAACATGTATGACAACTTCCTGTCCCAAAGGAATAGAGGGAAGCAACAGAAAAGGCACAGAAAAGAACATCAGACAGAGATATATCATAGGATAATATGTGATTATTTCAACAACACATAGTTTGGCTTAGTTGGCATAAGAACTATAGTGAAAGGGCAATCCAACAGTTTCTCAGAAAAAGTGAGGAGATAATGAAAAGAATTAAGGTAAGTGGCCATGTGGAAGTGTTCTGGAAGACTGTTTTGGGAATAAAAGCTAGCAAGAAGAAATGGAGGTGGCCATTTCAGGAAGGATAATATTGGAGGACTAAATGTGATTGATCTGGATATGTAAAGTTCATAGGAGGGATGTACTCAAATATAAGTAAAAGCTGTCCATTGCCAGAAAGGTTGTGATACTGAAGGCAAAACAGAAACCAGTGAAGGAAATTTGTGGTCAGTAAGAACACTTAGGTCCTCTGAGGGGTGGCTGGCTGGCTGGCTACTCCCAACCAACCAGATCCCAACTGGCAACAGTCACCCAGAGGACCTTTCATCGGCTGCCCCAAGACTATGAAATGGCCTGCTGGAAGAGCTCCAACAGCTAAATCAGGTATCAGTATTTGAAACACAGTCGAAGGCCTATCTCTTCTGGCAGGCTTACCCAGTCTGTTTTAATAATGACTTTTAAATCACATTCTATGTTTATTTTTTTAAAAACGTTTGTCTTATGTATTTTAATATATGTGTGTTTTGATATGTGTTTTATGCTTGCATTTTAAATATATTTTAATATGTGATTTTATAGATGTATGTTGTGCCCCATCGCAAGGTGAAACAAGAAAATGGTTGTTGTTGTTGTTGTCAAATCAATCTGATTTCTTTGCTACATGATGTCCAGAGTTGACAATCACAAAGAGTCTCAAAACAGTTTATATAAAATAAGAACAGTATAGTAACAGTAAACTTAGAGGCCTAAAACTTTTAAACCCAACAAACCAAACAACAGAAACCCATACTTTAAACAATTTGAATTTAATTTACAGTTTCAAAATGTTAAAAGTTCTATTCCAAAAGCCTAATACACTAGCAGTGTTTTAATTTGGTAACAAAGAGAATACAGTTGACAGCACTCATGTTTCTCTCAGGAGGTACTCTAAATCAGACTACAATTATAAAGAAGGCCCTTTTATAGATACATACTACACCTCTCTCAGCTGTGGTATATAAAGGAATCAATACGGTATATGAACTATATTTCCCTGAAGCTATTTGGTCCCATTGCTGCTTAGGGCTTTCAAGCTGGCCGTGATATTTGCTCATAGAGGCCAAATGCATGGAAGCTGGTGTAATGCTGTTCCTCTTATGTAAACGTCTCAGAATCCTAACCAGCTCTGCTTTGAATCAGCTGAAGCTCTTGGACCATTTTCAAGTTCAATGCAGGTCCACCTTGAAACCTTCTGTGCTTTATAATAATGTGAAGTAAGCCTGCCAGATAATGTAGAGATTTTTATATCAATAACAACCAAGCAATCAATTACAGCAAGGGTGCACAGAAAGCATAAAAAAATTTTTGTCACTAAACCAGGTATCATGCAAATTGATCTTGAGACTTCTAGGAAATAGAGCTCCAATTCAGAAACAGCAAAACAGACTTCCTAATTGACTTAACTGGGTTAGTTTCAAACAGTATGTTGAAGCTTCTTGGATGTTGTTTTTGTTGTTGTTGTTTGCCTTCAAGTCATTTCTGACTTATGGTGAACCTAAGGAGAACTGGTCATGTGGGTTTCTTAGATTAAGATTGTGTGACTTTTCTAAGGACATCCAATGGGTTTTCATGGCTGAGCCAAGATTTAAACCTTGGTCTCCATAGTCTCAGTCCAACACTCAATCTGCTATGCCAATGTCAGTAGCCTTGGGGTTTCTGTCTTCCTTCACTGACCTTTGTGGAATAAATAAAATCATCACAGGGTTTTGGATATGAGGTCTTGGACTCATCTGTCACAGGATGATCATCTGTCATCCTGTGACAGATGATCTGAATCATGACCTGAATCCAAATTCCTATATTCTATCACCACATTTTTAAGTTAAGCTGAATTGATCCTATTTAATTGCTCTATTTTTGTTCCATTAATTCTATCCTACTATACGTTTCTATCCACCTTATTGACCACCCTATCCTTTAACTAGCTTCACATATTGGCTCTCTCCCCCCCTCCAAAATTGAGTCTGTTGTTGTTTTTTATGCTTGTTTATTATTATTTATGCTGTTTTATGCTATTTTAACTTGTTATTTTCCTTTTTTAATTGTATGTTGCCTTGGGCTTGGCCCCATGTAAGCTGCTCCGAGTCCCCTTGGGGAGATGGGGGCGGGGTAGAAAAATAAAGTTATTCTTCTTGTTCTTTAAACATAAAGTTAAACTGGACTTGTCCCACAGTATTTTATGGTATGGGATAGCTTCAGCGGTATTTGATTGAATGTTCATGATAGTCAAAACTCTGAAGCTGATGGACTCATCTTGATGAATCTGTAGATACCTGGCATGCTTTTAACAACAATGGAAAGCAAAAACAAAGGCAATGACATTCTGCAGGCTTTTGTTCTTGCAAAATTTGAGCATTTTTATAACAGTAAAGCATGATGGAGGTTGTTTTTGCTCAAGAGATTGGCTTTGCCTTTTGCTAAGTAATGTGTTTTTTAACTCCTAAAATGCTTAAGGACTTGGTTGTTCTTTCATGTTTTAACATCCTGAAAGGGAATATTCTTTTTCAGAGCAGGTTTACCATATCATCTTTTTAATAAACACAAATCAAGAGGGATTTCAGCACTATCACTTGTCTGATTCCTGAGTCAGTGTAGCAATGTTCCATTCAATAAATGTGTTGTAAAGGTATCCAAGGTTACAATATGCATTTTTGTGGATTGTTTCCTCAGAGGAATATAGAGAGATGTGGGAAGAGAGAGAACCAGTGCTGCAGAGGAAGGTTTGAAGAACGAATGAAGGAAATAGAGTCCTTTGGTGTTCGTCTACCAGCTTTATTTTCAAAGACAGCCATGAGGCTAACAAAACAATGGGTTCTCTGCGGAATTCTTGTCCTAATGGATCTATAAATCTGAACCTATTGAAACTTTTTTAAAGTACTTGACCTAACCATTAGGATGAATGCTTAGATTAGATTAATGTATTCTCCTGACCATTTGAGATAATCCTATTGTTATATGCCTTAAAAAGATAAATGGAAGTTTAATCCTAGTACATTTCCTTTTGTATAGAAAATAAAATGTAAATGGTTTGAATTTGGACTACTTATTCTTTTATTGTGAGACATTACATATAAAGTAGCCCCTTCTCGTAGGATCCAATTTATCTTCTGCACTGCTATGCATTGCTTTATTGTGATACAAGCAGTCCATTACATCTACATTTATTTTCAGTACCAGTGTATGGTTTGTGAATTAAGGCCATCTTTGAGAACTACTGAATAGATCAACTATTGTCTCAAATTAAAAAATGATGAGCCATCTTTGACTAGTATTCACATTTATTGAAACAAATAGGGAGGGAAAGCCCAACAATATTTTGCCTTTTACTGAGAAATGTTAATTTACTTTTTAGTTTTTAGAAATTTACAGGTTTTATAGCTGATCAAGCACATACCAGAGAATGCCAAATTTATGGATATGATGTTACAGGTCATTTCCAACTTTGCAGAAAGGAAATGAGTCCAAATGGCGTAATCCTCCAAGTAAAGAATAAATCCATTAAGAAGGCTTTCCAACTGAGATTTTGGAAGTCCAACAATTGCCTATATTGTTAATAGGTTGATTCATTTTCAGCAACATGCCTTGACTCACTCAACATTTTCTCTTGCAGAGTCTGCATTACTGCTTGAAAGTACTGCAAAGCATTAACAGCTTGATCATCACAGATACATATCTATCAATGGAGAATGGCATGATGGATAAAGTATGAGCAGACTGAAACAAAGGTATATATCCAACCATTCTTAGTTTTAAGCCTGGTTTTTTCTTCCTCTCTGGCCTGGAAAGGGTTTCATTTGCTCTGAATTCTGAATTCTGAGGAATGTCTAGAAACTGACAAACCATATTTCACATAAACAGAGGGATACAGATATCCTGGAAATAGTCAAAATTAGATAGTGCTCACACTTGCGTATGCATCAAACAACCCAGAAGAGCAACCCTATAGAACTAAATGTACAGATGAAAATAATGTTTGCGGAGAGTTGACTTCTAGCTTGAAGCAACTTCATGACTTCATGACAGGAGCTGGCAACTTCTGACACTCTGAGAACTGATCAGACCAAAGGAGGAACTGGACCCTCATTCAGAAAACAGGATTTCATATGTGCCAAAATAACCCGTCTGAATTTACAACAAGCCCAGAGGCAAATTTAAATTCCTACAACTCATTATCAAAACATAAATAACACCAGAAATTGAAGGAATTAACTCCAGGTTTTGAGAAAGGTTGAAAAAAATATTGAACAACTTGGGTAAATGTTCATAGGACCCAGGACCATAGTCAGAAAAAAAATCGGGGGGGGGGGTTGAGTTTTTCTTAGCGAATCGTGAGAAGTAGTTTCATTACACAAAATAATTTAAATAGTATGATACAGTCTATATTTTATATAGACTTAATTAAATCAATTTTTCATCTCCTTCATGGGGGGCTTCAAATCCCTCCCATGCCTTAGGCTTTGCCTACCAGTTGTGGGTGGGCCAACTTGGTTGCTTCCACTATATCAGCTATTGTTGCAAGTAATGACTGTGAATAAATTGTCAAAATTTGCTTGAGATAATGCTTGCAGTTCTGGAGGGACTTGTTTAATTTTTGCTTCTCATAGACTTAGCAGGGGATTTGGTTAACCAGTTAAATTGATGAATAAACCAGGTTTTTTTAACCTGAACAATTTCGGGGGGGGGGGACCACCCCCCCCCCCCCCCCCCGGCTACAGCCCTGATAGGACCTCATCACATGGAGGGCCAGAAGCCGAAGGACACTGTGAGAAACCGTGGGGCAGTACTGTTGTGGGCTGCTATCCCATGACGTTTCCCAGCTGTCCTCAGCTTCCTCCTATGCTGTCTCTAGCTTCTTCCATAGGGTCCAGATAGTCAGGGCTCCCTCTTAGTGTGCTGCCAGCGCACTGTCAAGACAGAGCCCAATGGAGCCGCACTGGAAGTAGCCCTGTTTCATATAATGGGCTCTGGCAGACTTCATCCCAGCAGGATTCTTTTCCTACTGTCAAGGAAAAAATAATTTGTTTTTGTTTGGCAAATATATTATTCCTTTTGTCTTGCATAAAACCAACGTACATGTCTGAGCCATGGAGTTAAAGTGATTCTATAGTGTACTGTAGACGCACCACCAACTATTCATTGTGTGAGCTCAAACATAATCTCATACAGGTTTTCTGACAAGTAGGTCCTACTAAGGTCAATAGGACCTATTTCCAGGTAAGTGTGTGTAGGATTGAAAAAGCAAAAATGAAAATATTGAAAGCCATATAATCATTTTATTTTCATGTTACACAAACACGCACGCACACACACACACAACATACACTCACACATGCATGAATACCAGTATTCATATTTGTCTTATGTCTTCATTTCTTTTTCAAGGCAAAAAAGACAACAAAAATAGTAAAAAGAAAAGAAAACCAAAAAAAGTTTACATCAAACCACAGCATTACTGGAACATCGTTGTTAGAATATTGTAAAAATATACTCAGATCTTCTCCTAGCTACTCTCAATTATTATAGTTTCTAGTATCTCTGCCCTAGAGATTGTAGTTATTTTTAAAGGAGCAAGTTTAACCAGAAGATAAGGATAGGAAAAGCAAGGTCAAGCCAAGTGCCACTATATAACTCCAGAGAAACTGTTAATGGAACATTGTAGACTTCATGGAAACTGCTCTATTGAAAAGGGCTTTGAACAAGCATTATAAAACTATGCCAAATGCCGGAAAAGTCCTTGCTAATGTCTCGACCATTTCATGTTCGAAACAAGTTTTGACACCTGTTGTGCCAGATCGTCTACCAGAGGTAGTAGGTTTAAATTCTGTCATTAAAATTAACTCCGGGAAGAAGAGACCTGGGACTGTGATAGTTTCCAAAAGATCAGATACTGGTGTCATGTCCCAGGATCAGTGGGATCGACCAGTCATTCCACCAAGAAGACCTGGCTTCAAGGTGTGCTATATCTGTGGCAAAGAGTTTGGCTCACAGTCACTTCCTATCCATGAGCCTCAATGTCTGGAGAAGTGGCACATTGAAAACGAGCAGTTACCAAAACATCTCAGAAGACCAGCGCCCATTAAGCCTCAGACGCTTTCTGAAGGATCTCAGGGTCTGATGGCTGAAAATGCAGCTGCTGCTCGAAGTCACCAAGCTCAGTTCCTCCCTTGCCCAAATTGTGGCCGTACTTTCCTTCCTAGTCGTCTCTCTGTGCATCAACGAAGTTGTAAATCAAAGACAAGTTCGGGTCCCTCCAACTACAGTTCTCCAAAATCAAAAGGTTACGGGCCAGCGTCTTCTGTGTCAGACAAGGTAAACTAGAAGGTATTACGCTTGAAAGGTTCAGTTGTTTTTGTATGGGAATTCATAGATTACGTTCTGCTGTTATAGAACTTTATGTTAAAACCTTCCCTGTTGGCCTCAATCAAACTAGGTTTTTATTTCAGATATGGATAAATGAGTGAGTAGATTAAAACAAATAGCTGGCTGGACCCTCAGGATTTTTTGGTCAGATTTTTATTTCTTCATTGCTTTTCTCTGACCCTTTCCTCGGATCAATTTCTCCCTTAAAGTCAGCCAGTCAAAAAGTGCCTTTTAATTTGGGAATGCATCATACACATCTTATACATTAAAACGAGCTTCAAGTGGTTAAGTAGTCCAGAGTTGAACTAGGGAACTATGAAACTCAATGCAAATTTCTAGTAAAGACTCTCACAAAACCGAAGTTCCCATGATCATTTGGAGAAAGTGGTCACAGTATGAATCAGGCATTTCTTGTGTAGATTTCATGAGAAAGATGAGCAGTGCTCATAAGGATCTCCCTTTGAGAAAAAGGTGGGCTATCAAACAAGCAAGCAAGCAAAAGAAATGGAAACAGTTTCCCCAGCTATTTTATCCCCACAAAGCTAAAACAAAAAGAGCAGAAAACTTAAGTGTACCGGCTGAGGTTGGCTTTGGTACACAGGTGTAGCAGATTGAAACAGAGCCAGAGAAAGGAGAATTCATACCTTCCCAATTTATATATAACAAGCCATTTGATAGTTGCAATTAAAAAGAAAACAAGGTTTTCTGCATGCTGTGGCTAAGATTCTACATAGGACTGCTAGATCTCAGAGTTAGGCCTTGTGTCCCCATTTTTTTCTTGTGGGTGATGAGGGTGAAATTTCTCCAATTTTAGGAGACTAAAACCCCTTTCACATTGAATGGATGCGGATTTGAACAAGAGGACATAGTTTTAATTTTTTTATTGTTCACTGTTTTAATTATTTTAAATGTACTATAATGTTTCTTTTTTCTGCTTTTTATCAATGTTCAAAGAAGATAATGTTGTTACTTGGTAATCCAGTTGGTAATGGGATATATGGATCAACTATGATTGACTGAATGTAAAAGAAACTATCTATTACTAACCAATGTTGGCTCTACAACTGAGCTTTTGACACTGCTCCTTTCAAATCCTACTTTGAACTGCATTGTGGTAATCGACCTCTAGATTTATATTTTCAGCAGCTAGTTCCAAAAAGTAATGAAAGAAGGTGATGTTCTTCTAGTGAACATATATTTCTATTTCCTATATAGATTACATTTATAAATGTTTGATGTCTTTTCCAATGTCTGTGTCAATATATGGAGAAATGTTAATTCTAATTTTCATGGGCTCAGCCTTGAGTATCTGATGCTGCCATCTGCTGCCTTCTTGTGTTCTATGTGTGCTTACAAAATAAATGCATTCTAGTCTTTTGTCTTCCTTCTTTGAGTGCTTAAAACCAAGATCTTTGCCTTGCTCTACAGCTTTATTAAAATATGAACCAAATCTGGAGCAAATATTTCTTTTTGAAACCCTAAAAGTTCTTATTATAAAAAACCCTTTTTCCAGATTCAGCTTTCTTTCTTCCTTCTTCCTTACCTTTCCTTCCTTCCTTCCTTCCTTCCTTCCTTCCTTCCTTCCTTCCTTCCTTCCTTCCTTCCTTCCTTCCTTCCTTCCTTCCTTAAACAACTTTTAATTAGGCAAAAAAAAAAATCCCATTGCTGGAATAATTAATGTGTGATATGGAATTTTCCAATAGCTGCCAAAATAGTTTTGCAGTAACTTCATGAAATCATGGCATTCCCATGGGTCTGTTCCTTGTTGTTGTTGTTCATTCGTTCAGTCGTCTCCGACTCTTCGTGACCTCATGGACCAGCCCACGCCAGAGCTCCCTGTCGGCCGTTACCACCCCCAGCTCCCTCAAGGTCAGTCCAGTCACTTCGAGGATGCCATCCATCCATCTTGCCCTTGGTCGGCCCCTCTTCCTTTTGCCTTCCACTTTCCCCAGCATAATTGTCTTCTCTAGGCTTTGCTGTCTCCTCATGATGTGGCCAAAGTACTTCAACTTTGTCTCTAGTATCGTTCCCTCCATGAGCAGTCAGGCTTTATTTCCTGGAGGATGGACTGGTTGGATCTTCTCGCAGTCCAAGGCACTCTCAGCACTTTCCTCCAACACCACAGTTCAAAAGCATCGATCTTCCTTCGCTCAGCCTTCCCTAAGGTCCAGCTCTCACATCTGTAGGTGACTACAGGGAATACCATGGCTTTGACTAGGCGGATCTTTGTTGTCAGTCTGATGTCTCTACTCTTCACTATTTTATCGAGACTGGACATTGCTCTCCTCCCAAGAAGTAAGCGTCTTCTGATTTCCTGGCTACAGTCTGCATCTGCAGTAATCTTTGCCCCTAGAAATACAAAGTCTGTCACGGCCTCCACGGTTTCTCCTTCTATTTTCCAGTTGTCAATCATTCTTGTTGCCATAATCTTGGTTTTTTTGACGTTTAGCTGCAACCCGGCTTTTGCGCTTTCTTCTTTCACCTTGATTAGAAGGCTCCTCAGCTCCTCCTTGCTTTCGGCCATCAGGGTGGTGTCATCTGCATATCTGAGGTTGTTAATGTTTCTTCCAGCAATTTTCACCCCAGCCTTGCATTCATCAAGCCCCGCACATCGCATGATGTGTTCTGCATACAAGTTAAAAAGGTTGGGTGAGAGTATGCAGCCTTGCCGTACGCCTTTCCCCATCTTGAACCAGTCTGTTGTTCCGTGGTCAGTTCTGACTGTTGCTACTTGGTCCTTGTACAGATTCCTCAGGAGAGAGACAAGGTGGCTTGGGATGCCCATCCCACCAAGAACTTGCCACAATTTATTATGATCCACACAGTCAAAGGCTTTAGAATAGTCAATAGTCTGTTCCTTAGGTTCACCAAAAGTTGACAACTGAACAACACACTGAGACTTCAACTGGTTCTGTAAGAGCTGGCAACTCTGTTTTCAAGCACAAATACCTTACAACCAAAAGTAATTTAGCTCCTTTTAAGTCTTATAAGTTTTATACTTATAATGCTAGATATTTAAAGACTAAATTTCTTTTTCAAGAAAATACCACATTTTATTAATTCTAAGACACCATTTGTATGGGGATAAAAGTAAATCTTAGAACTGAGGAAATTCAGTATAAATTATTTTCCCTGGTCTATTAGTTATGAGTGGAATCCTGGATATCACATTCCTACACAGTTAAAGAAAAAAGTGACTGAGTTGTTGTAGGCTTTTTCGGGCTATATGGCCATGTTCTAGAGGCATTATCTCCTGACATTTCACCTGCATCTATGGCAAGCATCCTCAGAGGTAATGACCTCACTACCTCTGAGGATGCTTGCCATAGATGCAGGTGAAACATCAAGAGAGAATGCCTCTAGAACATGGCCATATAGCCCGAAAGAACTTACAGCAGCCCAGTGATTCCGGCCATGAAAGCCTTCGACAAAATAAACAGTGACTGAGTCTAGCAATTGCACAGGTTACATGGTCAGTAAGCAATGTTGAAAAGTTAACCTAACATGAATCTTATGATTTTCCAACATAGTTTAATTTAGAACTGTAATCCTCCCTGAGGTGTTATTTCCATAAAAGGGTAGGAACCTGAGTGATACCAGAGTTTAACTTTATCAGTAGTCCTAACCTACAAAATCTAGAAGGGAGTTTGTGGATGATAACAGATGGAAATAATTTTATGGAAGCTAAAGTTTAAGATATAAATCTACTTTATTGGTAGTGTGATATTTCCCATATATGTTCACTCCATGCCCTCCAATATTTCACAGATGAAAACCAGGAGAGAAGTAGCCAAATAACATGAGCAAGATCACGACAGCAAAAGTTATTAATGAGGAAGAACACATAAGACAGGGGAAGCTATTGCAGTTCTATTTTGCCTGAGCCTATTGGGAAGGTCAAGATTCCTATCTGTTTCTTCTACTGAATTAATTCAAATGTTCAAATATACTTCTCCACTTTGAACTCAGTTTGCAGCAATACGTTGAGGACAAAGAGAGGAAATGGGAGTCAGAGGGAGAACTGGAACATTTTTAAAGAAGCTGAAAAATAGGATACCAAATTGGACAATTAGTGGACATATTACCTATACTCACAGGATGAGAAGATACGGTAACTGGGAAAAGCTATGTGTTTCAGTGTGGTGAAACTGTATACATCTGCAATCTTTGCAAAGAGTTCCATGATTCCCAGGTCTGGGCGCCCTTGTGTCCTCTCTTCTGATTCTGTCCACATCATCATTGCCACAATTATGAATGACCCATTTACTCAGGATCCAATCTACATTACTATTCAATGAAAGCATGTGGAATAGAGGTTGTGGGAGGGTAGTTATGGGGAGGGAATATTTTGTATTTGATTCTTTTGTTTTCTGTTTTAGTATCTATGTTTTTAATTTTTTTGTTGGGTTTAAATTACATTTTTTCAAAATTTCATACAAAATAAATTAAAAAGAGAGAGATTGGGCTTCAACCTACTCATGCCGATCCTTATCTTCAGTAATGATTTAAAAATCTGTCTTTTTGAACATTAAATGATATGGTGGCCGGATTTAAGGCAGGGAAAAATAATCTTGTAATACATTTAAGTAATATATTTCAGGATGAGTTTTTGTAGACATCAATCCACATTTTCAGGTAAATTGATGGAGTACAGTATTAAAGCCAGAGGTATTTAAATGCATTAACATAGTTGTGGGCGTGGTTTGAGAAAGTAAAAAGATACAGAAAGATGCAAATAGTGAGCCTGGTTTTAAACCTTCAGAGTTAAGAAAGATGATACATGATTTTTTTTTCATTCTCCCATTTATCAAAATATTTAAAGAGATATACAGGGGGGAAACCATTAAAGAACAAAAAGCAAACACAGCTGTGTTTGTCATAAGAAAAAAAATCAAAATCCATATTAATATGTACTAATGTAGCTTTATTATACTGTCAAGGAGCAGATCACACAAATTTGTTCAAATTTCAGGGTCTCCATATCTCTTCAAGGGGTGAAGTTAAAGAGTGCCTAGGTGCATCTACATTGTAAAAATGATGCAGTTTGATATCACTAAACTGCCATAACTCAGTGCTGTGGAATCATAGGATTTGTCGTTAATGAAACACCAGCACTCTTTGGCAGAGAAGACTAAAGACCTGGTAAAATTACAACTTCCATGATTCCATAGCAGTGAGACATGGCAGTTAAAGTGATTTCAAACTGCATTAGTTCTACAAGGTAAATGCACTTTAGGATTGGGGGGGAATAAAGAAAATTCTGATGATGCCCATGGTATCTGGCTGATATTGTAGGATGGAATGAAGATACAAGCCAGTGTGATGGAGTGGTTTGAGGGTTACAGTATGACTCTGGAGACCAGGGTTTGATTCCTTGTTCAGTCATGGAAACTCTGTGACTCTGTGACCTTGAGAGAGTAAGAAACTCTGTGACCTTGAGAGAGTAAGATACTTGCAACCCCAGAAACCCCCACAATGGGTTTGCCTTATGATTGCCATAAGTGGGAAATTACATAAAGGCACACAACAACAACAAACAGGGCTTTGTACAAAATAAAATAATCATTAAAGAATAAAAAATAGTCCATGAATATCAAGTGGAGACTTCTCTCTTCTTTGTTTGTGAACTCTGTCTCTCAGCCTCTTGCTCTAGCTTCTGGGTTCTTTCAGGTGAAAGATTTGCTTTAGGCTGGCTTATGACCTCCAATGGATAAACATCTCACCACTCTCTCAAATCATAAAGCATCTGGAGTCAAAGCAAATGTTGACTAAAGTGACCAAAGCCTTGGCAATAAATATATTTTGTGGAAACACTCAATTTAATTTGGCCTTTCTTTTGGACATAATGCTGGCTATTTTGGCAGAAAAGAAAAGCAATATTTGATGTAATCACAATGGTCACATTGTTTTAAAGGAAAAATATTATTATTATTATTATTATTATTTCCACAAAGGAGTCTCAAAGCAGAAAAAGACAATCTTTGCACACATATGAACTAATTCCTCCTACTCCTATATTTAGATCTCACTGTGCAATTAAACCCTATCTTATCCCCCAGATCTCCTGTCCTGATACATTACATTGCCCTCTCACCCAGTGTTTTAAAATTTTTAATTTTTTAATCTTTGCAATTGGCCCTGCCCACTGTGATTATTTTCAGTGTTTTAATGTCCTGATTTTATATTGTTGTGCTGTTTATTTATATTGGTTTTGTATCTTATGTTATTTTATTTTCTTATTTTCTCTTGTGATCTTGTGTTATATTGTTTTACTGTATTGCTGGCCATGGCCTCATGGAAGCCAACCTGAGTCCTCTTGGGGAAATGGTGGCAGGGTATAAATAAAGATTATTATTATTATTATTATTATTATTATTATTATTATTATCATTATTCAAAACCAAACTTAAGGCGGCTACTGTTTCTTCATTTAAAGCAGAGGTGAAGAAAGTGTAGCCAATGGGCTATCTATACTCCAAAAGACATCCACTCTCTTAGACCTTCCCCACCCTTAAAAAAATAAATAATGGTGTGATTTCCAGGTGGTATGGCCATGTTTGAGCAGCATAGGAGAAAATGCTGCTAGACCATGACCATATAGCCTGGAAACCACACAACACTCCAGTTTTTCCAGCCATGAAAGGCTTTGACAATACAAATAATAAGTTATTTCTACTTCTGAAAGTTTCTCGTTTTAATTGTTGTTTCCCATACTTTCAATTTGGGACCTGATGCAACACAGGATGTGTCTCCACTGGGTCCCCTAAACTTTTATACCCCTAAATTATTTCTCTTGAAACATGTATGACTGGAAGCTAAGGTATTCTAACCTATACACCTGTATTTTACAGATAGTAAAAAACAGAACATTTTGAAATTGCTTCTAAATGCTAATTTTATCAGAAGAGTTGTTCATAATATTGCCCACCCCTAAAAATCATCCAGTGAATTTCTGGGTTCAGTGGGGACTAAAATCTATATCTCCCAAAGTCCTACCTGATCACTACACAGCACTGTATCCCAACTTTCTGACACCATTTTTTAAATTGCATTTTGTTGCTTTCAGCCTGCAGTGATAAGGCGACCCCCAACTGTCATCTGTTACATCTGTGGTCGTGAGTATGGAACTCAATCTATAAGTATCCATGAACCACAGTGTCTTAAAAAATGGCATATTGAAAATGATCAACTGCCAAAACATTTACGAAGATCTGAACCTGTGAGGCCAGTTGTCCAATCCATAGGAGGTAAGTATAAAGTGATTAATGTACATATGCCTCCTCTTAACACAGGGCATTTTTGCCCCATTTTACCACTTTGTTTCACAGCAAGGACAGGGCTTGCCATGTGCCATTACACGATGCACAGCAGGCCCCACCCACTTTCCTCCCAAAATCAGGGGGAAGTGCCAAAAGGCACTTCCTCCATGACTATGTGAAGGAAAAAGTATTTTGGGTAGTTCTGACAAAGCTACCTGCACTTTCTCTTCTATTTCCCTGTGTGATGGACGAAAAGGCATCAGGCCAATGCCCATCCCCTCTGTGTGATGAGGGGAGGAGGGAGGATGCACGAGACACCATGAGCCAGGTCACATGCCTTCCCTTTTGCTGGCGATCACCACAAAATGGCACAGCTCGAAAGGGCCGTATGAAAAGGTCCATGGATAGGTATTTTGCCTAATAAACATCCATTAACATGTTGCATATAGGTTTTATTTAGCTAATTAAAATGATGCCATGTTGCTTAAGTTAGTTTCATTTCACAAATCAATGGGCTTTTACACTTCTAAAGACTAAAATATCACGTTTGTCTAAATTTTTGATTGTCCTATATTGTTATAATGACAGTAGATTCAGAATTTACAAATTTCAAATATGCAGTCTGTTAGAAATACCTGAGAAAACTTGCTTAGTGGCTGCCCTATGGCTTTGACATTTCTGGCAAGTTAGCACCCTTTCTGTTATCCTCCTGCTAGTAAGCAAGACCATTTGTGTCTAGGCAAGCTTCTGAGATCTGACTTGATTCACTGTACAGTTAGGTTTTATGTCTGGCATATTGAGTTGTTACTTTATTAATCTTTTATTAGGAATACTTCAATTATAACTATCATTTTTTCATAATTTTTTTGTTGGCTGCCATGAACGTTATCTTAGTGTGGATCAACACTGCCCTATATCCCAGGATCTGATCCCACATTTTCTACTTATCTGAGATTATCTGGGCCGTGTAGACTCATATAATCCAGTTAAAAGCAGATAATCTGGGATCATATACTGGATTATATGGCAGTATATGACAATTGAGCTCAGTATTTATGAGATTATAAGCTGCAACCAGTGTAGTGTAGTCGTTTCGGTGTTTGACTAGGACCTTGGATAACAGCGTTTGAATTCCCCCTTGGCCTTCAAGATCCATTTGGTGACCTTGGGCAAGTTGTACTCCCTCAACTTCAGAACAAATCCTGCTGAGAAAACCCCATGATAAGTTAGACATAGAGGTTACCATAAACTGGAAATGGTTTGAAGTCACAAAACAACAAGCTGGACACATAGTCTTGTAACTTTAAGGATTTGTGTTTACATCGTTAATGACTGGACACAACCCTTAAAACCATATAGTTGAGTCATTTCAGTTCTCATTCTTTCTGGATGAGTAGCACTACATGTTGTCCTGTGCTGTATGGAACTGGGTTGGGGAAACTTCATAGTACAGAATTTAAAGCATTATGATGCCATTTTAACTGCTATGACTGGAATTCTGGGTTTGGTAGTTTGGTTGAGAATTCTAATTGGCAAATCCCAAGACTCCACAGCATGTTGTTATGGCAATGATATAATTCTATTATGTGAAATGGCCCCAAGGTGCTGAGTACAGGTTCAAGTCTTAGTAAAAATAGTGTTTCATGTCTCTCACAATCCAAATGCTCAGGATTCTGGCTGTTGTGAGTATGGTAGACACCTATCCTCCTACTCTCACCAAATCCAGAAATATAGGATTTGTGCTTGATATTCCCCAAAGGCAAAGACACATGTAAGCCCCTTCTGGTCATTTTCTGGATACCAATCATGAAAATTTCCCTTTCCTTTTATCAACCTTGTATGCAACATTAATAGGATGGCTTTGTTTCTGTTGTTTCTTCTATGGTTCCTCTGCAGAAGAGAAGCAGCAAGTGGGTATAACTCTTCTCTTGCCATTTGCTTTCCCTGCAGCTTTCCTCTTCTGGAGTCAAATTTGTTTTGCAAACATCTTCCTAGAACTTTAAAATCAATGAGATGGATAATGATTTAAATAAATATTCAAAAGGAAAGTGTTTAGCAAGAGAAGAGTTAAGCATGTACACCCCCTTCCCCATGCTATGCTGTAAAGCACTTCCCTAGGGCAATTTTTTAAGTGTGAAGGGGCTGTGATGGCAGCTATGTAATGTGTAATTTGGCCCTGACTATTCTAAAGTATACAGCATACACATTCATTTCCTGCAAATGAGAAGACACTCACTATGGCCAAAAAAAGAAACAGAGTTGGTTGCTCATCTAACAAAAAAGAATATTAGGAACAGACGCATTATGAGATCTAAGGCTTATTTGCATATGGAGAACCAAATACGAATCATATTACAATTGACTGGGTTCTTATGGAAAGGTCTATTTTTTTGTCTTCTATATAAGCAACAGCCTTTTTTTTAAAAAAAAAGGCATTGGATTTAAACAAATTTGGTTCAATATCTGAACATAAAATCTAGGTAATGTATTAAAATATTACTGCCGAAAGTACCATTCCTTTTGGCAATGGCGTACCATTTGCAGTTCAAATAAAATATATACCACAATTTTCTCGCCATGGACTGCCAAGGAGAATTGTGAAGTGTAGATACTCTTGGTAAGAGCTCATTCAGTTGTTAAACAACCTCAACTAAAGGTAACCCTGTGAAAAGGAAAAATGTTTAAAGCCCATTTTAAGGCAAGGATTTGATGCAAATAATTATACTATTAAAATGCATTCCAGCTGCCTCAGTCTCTAAGCTTAATTGCAGACAATTCCAGCTGAAAAATAAAAATGGGCATAAATTGAAGTTTACTGATTTTGCCCATAGGGTCTTTGCATTAGCCCTGCTCTCTCGGTCATACCAAAGTCATTTTAAAAAACACACCTAAACAGGAACAAAATTGGCTGCTCTATCCCCAAGAACAACAGTGGAGTATGAGAAAGGAGGGAACATAGCAAAAGACAGAACATGGTGTGCTTTTTCTTCCATCCTTTTGGTCAGATAATCTTGGCTCATTAAGCAGGATTTGTAACAATGCCAAGTGGCAAAACCGGCTGATACTGAAGTGTGGTTGTGTATGTTAATAATTAGCAAAGAATGTGAAACATAGCACATGCTGAAATGTTTTCTCCATACGTACAAGATGATTCAGTTTGTAGTTAACTTTATTTGACCCCTGAGACAATAAGCAGAGTTTTGGCGGGGTTTTTTCCCTCCCACCTAAAGACTATGATTTAGTTAAAACTGAAAGACTCAGTCAACAGGTATTTCCTGAAAATATTTTCCATAAAAAGTGAACAAGGTTCTCCAGAATGAAAACTGATATATATTTTTTCTTGTTTCTTCTTAATTTTCCAGCCAAAGGTTACTATGATCTTGATGCTTTAAATGAGTCTGCTTGGCAAAGTGCCCAGACCCAGTTAGTTCCATGTAATATTTGTGGTCGTACCTTCTTGCCAGACAGACTGATCGTCCACCAACGTTCATGTAAACCGAAGACACCGAAATAAAAGGCTCCTCCTTCCTAGACAAGGTTTTAAAGAACTAAATTTTGCTTTGATCTAGATAGGTTTCAGCACTCCATAGAATCAAGTTGAATGCTTGCCCTGTTGAAATTACCCAGATGTTGATTATGTAGGTGAAATATGGAATATGTCGCTTCTGCAGTGTTTTGCAACAGTGAAAATGACTATGTGGGCCACAATCTGAAGGATTTACAAGAACCTTTAGAATGACTTCAAGACTGCAAATGATTACCAACCTTTTTACTACCACAGTCTCTATTAAGAAGTGGCCATGCCTGTTCACACATCAGGATTAATAAATCATGTGTACTTATTTTTATTGATTAAACTTATGTTTAAAAGCTCTGTCTGCACAAAATAAGGACAATAAAAGCCTTCAGTAGTCTTCTTCAAAAGTAGGCATTTGTGTGTTTAATGGTCCCCGGTGGCACAATGGGTTAAACCCTTGTGCCAGCAGGACTGCTCACTGAAAGGTCAGCTCCAGTTTCTCATGTGGGACATGAGAGAATCCTCCCACGGGATGGTAAAACATCTGGACGTCCCCTGGGTAACATCCTTCCAGACAGCCAATTCCCTCACATCAGAAGCGACTTACAGTTTCCCAAGTCGTTCCTGATATGAAAAAATGGCCCAATTTCAAGGCTATTATTTGCCTCCTCCCTCTTCCAGCTTACACATCTCAGTCAAAATAATCACTTATAGCTTGAATTCTCCACATTCTCTAGAAGACTTGAATCATAAGTATTATAACCAGTTAGTGATTTTTTCCCCTTAAGAATACAAATAACTTTATACATATTGGCTGACATTCAATTTGCAGACGTAGTCCCATATTCCTATGTTCTCCTAGCACCTGGCAGCTGCCAAGCCCCAGGAGGTCAAATGTGGCTTGAGGTTTAAAAGAAATAGCTTTCTTGAAACCACCATGGAATGCATTCTTGCCAAGCTCATATTTGAACAGAAGATATCTGACTCATGGGTCTAGTTTTCACAAATCCTACTCAGACATTTTTTTAAAAAGTAATATTCCACAAAGAAGAAGAGCAATGCCACTATAATTGACCTCACACCCTTTGTCATGTCCATGTTGCCTAACTCCTTTGCTTTCCTAAAGCTATGGGAGTACATCAGAGGTACAGGGCTTACTCAATGTATGTGGCCTCGGTGAATATTTTGAATCCAAATTCCATAAATTATAGAGAGTGCCCACACATCATGAAGACTCCCCATTTAGACTTTCCTCCTCACAAAGTGTGGAGAGAGAGCATGGCCAATATGGAGACTTAATAGCAAAGCAGGGCAAACAGGACTGGACACAATCCATATATTGATGATGATGATGATGATGATGATGATGATGATGATGATGATGATGATGATGATGATGATTTATTTGTAACCCCCCTATCTCCCCAAAGGGACTTGGGGATAGTAACTGATAACTTTGTGCTTGATGTTCACATAGGACTGAGATTTGATGTTAAATGGGTGTCAGGAATGTACATTATAGCTGAGAGCTCTCATTGCCAAATTAACTTTCATAGAAAAAACATTTTTACACAGGTTATCTGATAGAGGAACCAACAATGTGCAGTTTATTTATTTTGGACATGCAAATCCAACTCTTATGGCATTGTGGAAAGTGGTATATGCTCAAGGACACCTTTCTGTCTTGCCCACTCAGAATAAAAATACTGAATATAAATTCACATCTTTCATATTATGGAAAATATCATCACCATCAGCTCACATTGCTTTACATTCTATAAATATTACAATGCAATCTTGAATTCCATTTTGGGAGAAAGGTGAGATTTAAATTCAATAAATAAGTGAAAAAAATACAAAATAATGAGTAAAAAATATGGCTTCTGGTAGTGCATTCCTTATTCCTGGGATTTCGTTTCACTGGGAGTTTACCTGTCCGAACGTATTCTCCCCTATGAACCATCAAGAGTGTTAAGATCATCTGGAGAGCCCTTCATGTGGTGGCCCCTTGGCTATGGAATTCCCTCCCAAATAAAATTAGATCGGCCCCCTCCCTCCTGACCTTTAGGAAGCTAGTGAAAACCTGGCTGTGCAGCAAAGCTTTTGTGGAATGATGTCTGAGACCGGCAATTGACTAATGGTACTGATCACAATATATGGACTGGACATACGGACTGAGTTGGACACGATTTTATCCTGGCGAACGGCTTTTATGTAATTTTGTATAATTTATGTAATGTAATTTGATAACTTAATGTTGTGTATTATGTTTTAGATTTTCAGTGTTAGCATTGAATCTTTGCTGTTAGCCGGTCTGAGTACCTCTGCAGAGGAGAGAATATCGGGATATAAAAGTTTAAAATAATAATAATAATAATAATAATAATAATAATAATAATAATAATAATAATAATAGTAATAATAAATATATGAGATCTTAGATTTAGTTTGTAAGCAAACACTAATAATATGTGGCATCATTTACACATAATATGATTAAGATTACTATAGTTTATTTATTAGATCCCACTTTTCTCCTAAAGATTTAAGGTAGCTGATAAAATTAAAATGACATACAGATGAAAGCACATATAAATATGTATTTTATTAATAGTAGTCACTAGGGGATTGATTTCTCACTCTTCTTTGTAACTCCCTCAGATACCTCAAAATCTGTTGGTTGAATGAGTAGATACTTATCATGATAACATCAGAAGTTTCCTATCTTCGTAATCAAGGAAATATTGGGGACCAAATTTAAATATGATTCTTGTTGTCTTTGCAACCATTAAGATCAAATGAACATAAATCAAAGTGTAGAAATTCTGAAGGAAACTAGTATAAAAGCAGAATTGTTTTTTTTTTAATACTTAGAGAAAGTGCTTTATTAAGTGGCTGGCGGACTTATCTGGAAATGCAGTCTGAAACCCAATCTGTCTTGTTAAACAATACCGTGAACTGTGGGAAAGAAGTGAATTGTGTCTTAGTTTTCACCTCAATGTTTTGAAACTGGCTGTGGGTATTTTATGACAGATTTTCCAAGGTGATTGTCACCAGCATCTGTGCTTCCAGATGAAGTGTGCTGGAGGTCTCTGTACAATTTGAAAAAGAGATGAGATCCCAGTTGCTTCTCAGTGCCAAGTTATCATATTTCACAATTTGCCTCATAATGAAAACAAGAAATAATATCACAGGTTATTAAGTGAAATCAAAATCCCAGGACCCAGAAGGAAGTTCTTTCAAATTGCATTTGAAGTTCATATTCTTTGTGGAAAATGCTTGCCAGATCAATCAATGACACTTCAATTGCCCCTTTAATTCTGCATGAAAAGGAAACATGTTCAATTTATTAAGTCAACAGGTCAGTTCCTGGCCTAAGGTTCTGCACTGCATAAACCCATACGAAGTCCTTTGATCATCATGACTGTGAAGCAAAAACTCAACCAGTAAAGCTGCTCTTCTAATAAAACTTAGAGCAGCTGTGGACAGGATTGAGACTGGAGCAAGAAGGCCAATTCTGCTTATACGCTTACTCATCAAATCTAAAAGAAATGTTTCCGTCTTTTTAATGAGAGTGGCATCATCCATACCAATGACTTATGTTCTGCAATATGTTTATCTCATGCTTTGCTTTTGACCCTATACAATCCTGCAACAGAGCAGATCTTGTGAAGGTTGCCTGGTTGAGTTATGGTTCCTAGAATCCCTAACTAGCAGTCCAAAAAAGTAATATTTCTAAACTCTTCCTAGAATGCCAAAAGTTCAGGGTATAATCATTTGTTCAGTTTTGAAAGTAATTTATAGGAAGACAAGTGATGACTTTTATGGCATCAATCAGGAAAAGATTTACACCGAAGTACTATCCCCCCCCCCCCCATTGCTAGTCTGCCATAGATATGATGGATCCCGGCCCATTTATCCCCACCCATCTGCTTTTCTAATCTCTTTTCCAAAGGGGTAAGAGAAAGTGGGGATGCGTTTTTTTATTGCTATCAAAAATCTTAGCTTTATTCTGGCCCATTGTCACTACGTTTTTCTTCTTCATCACACTTTTCTCCTGCCAGAATTATGCAACTGATCTAAACTTCATTCTATTTCATTCTTTCCCAGACAATGCAAAATGTCTGGCAAACACATTGGTATTTTGCAGAACATATTGTTTAAAACTCATCCAACTCCCTAGACTGTCAATCCATGCAAATGCTGTTAGCAATTAAATGCATGCAGCGAGAGACCAAAATCTGGGCGGAAAGTTCTGTAGTGCAGCATCTTGCAGAAGCATCCCCACCTGAAATGTTTGTTCTTGATCCTTTGGAGCTAAATAACTCAGGCTGAATCTACACCTGTAAAATAATTACCCTTTCCTCGATCCTGGCTCTTTCATCCATGATCCCCCCAAAAACTGAATTTTTGTGAAGCTCTTCTTGTAGGACCCTTCCACACAGCCCCATATCCCAGAATACCAAGGCAGAAAATTCCACAACATTGCATTGAACTGGGTTATCCGAGTCCACACTGCCATATATTCCAGATCAAAAAAAGATAATGTGGGAATTTCAATCTTGATATTCTGGGAAATCTGGGAATATTCTGGGAAATGGAGTTGTGTGAAAGAGTGAAGGGTGCTGTCTGATCTCTTTTCAGACTTCTTCCCCCCTCCAGGCAGTGCAACAACTCAAATGCCAATCAGTGGTCATATCCACCAACTGCATGCCCTCACACCATAACCTCCAGCCATCCATGGATCCACATACACTACCTGAGCTGGGTGTGTGGTAAGTGGGCAATATTCATACTGAGAAGAGTCCAAAGTCCTCCATGTCCAACAAGCATGGTGACGCTCTTTTTTCATTGAGTGTATTTGAATGCTTGGAGGGACATCTCCATTTCAAAAGTCCTGCAAACCTTTGGACATTTAAATATATAAAACATTCAAATGGGAGGCGGTAGGTTAGAAAGGAAAAGTAACTGCCAGCTTTCCCTAACACACATGAAACCACCAGAAGGGGTTGTTAAGTAGAAGGGGTTGCCACCAATAAGCTTTCCACTGTGAACTTTTCCCACCTCCCACCCACCAGGCCCAAGTTGTGAAAACCCTTCATGCAGGAAATCTTTCCCTGCATGAAGGACTCCCAAACACCCCCAGCAATGCTCCAACTCCACTCCTTCCAGTGTGAAGTAATCAAATTCACATTCTCATACTCTCCAATTGTCCCACTTTGGCAGAGACAACCTCAATTATTTTTATTTATTATTTATTATTTTATTTACTGCATTTATTGACCGCCGCTCTCAGCCCTAGGGCGACTCGTGGCGGTGCACAACATATAAAAACAGTTTACAAAAGGGCAAAACAGGAAATCAATACAACAATAATACACTATAATCTAGTTACACTAAATAATCC